CTGCGATCAGCGACAGATTTCCTGGGCTTCCTGCCTTGGTGAGCACACGAGCAGCCCCAGTCTTCCTGGCCACAAGGTGCAATAGCAGTAGCTGGTTCTCTGGAGCACACCTCGAGTTTTGCATTGGCTACCTGGGTCAGAAGAGAAGCCACCCAACGTTCAGGTCCCACTGTGCTGGGGAACACTCTTTTGGTGTAACATAACCACCCAAAAAATCAGGAAGGAAAACAACTTATCCTGGGAAAAGCTAACATTTCTTCCTTTGCCTAGTTCTTTGGTCTAACTCATCCAGACTTTTGAGCCTATAGCTTAGCACATAGTAGGTGCTCAGTAAGACGACGACGACGATGATGTATCAGACTTGTCTAGGAAAGAGCCAAAGAGGCAGATTCTTCTTGTACAAAGTTACAGTCATTGAGCATTTATAAAGAAAAAGTTTATTTTCATCACAAGAAGCACACAGACTATATACAATACATACCAACAGAAGTAAAAAAAAAGTGCATTATGCATCTTCTACTGCAAATTCACAGTACAAAAGATACTGCCTTTTAAATATATAATATAAAAAAAACAAGACAACAATTAAAAAATCACTGACATGGTAACGCAACACATGGGAACCCACCTGTAGCTTCTGAAAAATCAAAGAGTAACTTGTCTGGTGGAGTTCCTTATCGGGGCAGGGAGAGTGATCTGTACCTACACTTCGTAGCAAAAGAGCTCAGGACACTAACAGAGAGGAAAAAATAGGATAGCCTAGGTGGTAACGGACGACCTCTATTAAATAAAAGTACAAACTGTGTGATGGGCAATGGGTGAGGGGTGGGGCTGTGGTTCAGGGGGCCCCGGGCCTGCACCACTTCCCAGCTGGATGGCAAACCAAACTGTGTGTTTTTATTGGCTACCAACGGATGCAGTGTCAGGCAATGGTGGCCTGGCCTGTAGGAACAACCAGTGCTGTGTCTAGAGGCTCCCTGGAGTAGTTGTGGACATACAGGTCAAACTGCATAGCAGAATCAACACAAGTCTGAGAAAGACAAACTCAAGCCCTAAGACCAACTACTGTGGACAAGACAAGGTCCCCAGTCACTGAAGATGAGTTTTACAGTTTGCATAAATACACAGTATTTGTAAACTATTATTAAGGCACTCAATTGTAAAACAATGATTACAGTGTAGGAAAGAGGAGGAGCAGCTATCTTCTCATGCAGCAAGTCCCCGGGTCAGGGCAGCAAAGGCCGGCGGTCTGGTTAGAAAGATACCAGGTTCGCAGAAGGGCTGAGGAACGGAGTTGCAGCCCGACTGCCAAATAGGAACAAGACACCCACGTGTCTTCAGACGGGCCTGGGGCCTGCACTGGGCAGCATCCCTCCAGATGGGTCCAGGGGATTCCTTTGTAGCTCGGGGGACACAGCAGGTTTGTGGATGAGAGAAATGATCACATGATAGTTTGATTCAAGTTGTACACACGCTCTCTATATAATGCACATACTAACGCATATACATATATGCGTATATACATATATGCATGCAGAGTTCTCATTCAACTGAACAGACAATAACAAAGCAAGTGGCTGCACACAGGAGTAAATCAATGACCTGCATTTAGCCTTTATTGTTAGCAGGAGCTTGGAGGGTGGAACCAGGACAAGTGAACCGGGTATGCGCTGTCCCAAAGTCACCAAGTTTCTGATCTACACAGCTCTCTTGCCAAAGGTGAAATGGTTGCCCTCAGAGGTGTGTGTCGGAGGTGGCCGCCAGGTGGCCAGCTAACTAGCGGGGTTGAGTAAATGAATTGTGGCACCAAGAATTTCCAGCTAACAGAAAGCAATTCCTTTCCCTTCAGGTACTTTGGGGTAAGTTGCCTAACAGGACCTTAACTAAATGCTGCAGTATTTGTTCCTGTGGGGGAGAAGAAGAGTCATGGGGAGTTCACAGCCTTTGGCCCTGAGACAGGACGCAGAAGTACTGTACAGCACTGCCCTGAAGGTCTATTCTACTCATGCTCAGCTCCACTCTGCAGCATCCTCTGGGCTACGGTAATATGCTGGGAGGGCTTCAGACTTGACTGAGCTGGAGAGACTGGGTAGGGCAGGTGGAAGAGTGGAGTGTGGACACTGCAGCCTTCCGTGTACCTGGTGAGTAACGTACCCCACCGAGCAACAGGGTGCACTGGGGAAGGCCTGCTACCCAGCAGTGAGCTGCTCCACAGGCAGGGGACCGTGCACAGGGAACAAGACGGCAGGGGACACATAGAGAAAGAAACCGTGTTCTTAGAAAGTTCGTGCAACCAGGGACATTGCTAGAGATCTCTGAAATAACCCTTTAAGAGAAAGAAATGGAAATTGGCACTGTCAAGATTTTGGTCCGAGGGCAGCCTGGTCTGTCCTTGATCAGTTTCCCCCTTATGCTTAACAAAACCTGACAAGACGACCTTCTATATCAATGCAAGACAAGCACGTAGCAAAGTTCAAACTTCTGTGGCGCCACATCAATCAAGGCAGGCAGGCTGAAAAGCAGCCCAATGCACAGGGTGTTGGGCACATCAGAAAGTATTCCCTTCCCCCCATCAACAAAGGCATCAATGAGGATGAGAGGCGCCAAAATCAGTGACTTGTACAGCATCCATCTGTGCATTCTCTGCCTGCCTCTTTTGTGCCACTTACATTTGGAATTTTCCTTGTCACCTAAGGTTACATATAGCGCACTAGCCAAGCTGTGGCACATCTTAAGGAATGCACTTTTTTTTTTTCTGATTACCAGTATGACTTTGTGCCAAAGTGCCCCTAGACTAGCAGAATGCGTTTGCCTTTCTAATCTAACCCTTTAAAATTGCCTCATGTTTATGGGCAGTGGGTCTGAGTCTCCAAGAACAATCTTCAACCCTTCCTCCATGTCAGCGTGAACCATCAATAAATCAAGAACGTTTTGTCGGCTCTGCTGATGGGGACCACTGGCCTGGTCTGCCTGGATGCTGGCTGATACACTAGCTATGCTTCTAAGAAAGAATGGGTAAGTTTGCCAAAGACCCACTTATATTTATAATCTTCCTCGCCCCTACCCTTAACTGGACAAGAAAAATTAAGCTTTTAAATTAAAGTTTTCAAAAATATAGCACTCTTCTGCATAGACTGCTTAAAAAAAATCAACAGAAGCCTATCACCATCAACTTTAAAGGATTATTTTGACACAAAAATTGATCTGTGTGAGGTTGAATTTGGCAAAGCGTAATTGTTTTTTGAAAATATGCTTTTGTTGGCTGAGGAAGAAGGGGGAAACCTCCTAGGGTTTTAGGAATAAGTGGATAATCCTCTTGCAAGGTGATTTCAATTGCTAGAGGGAAAGCAAATTCCTATAAAATAAAGTAACATACATTTAGAAAAAATCATGCCAGGGAGAAAAAGTTCTTGGAGATGGTCTTTGCCAAAACTTTCTGCACTAGTTGAAACAGGACCTCGCCTTCTTCCTGAAGACCCTGCCTGGCTGCTCTCGGGAACAGCTGCTTTGGGGGCCCAGTTCTGGCCAATGGAAGATGGCGACTCATGCATCTGCTTTCCAAATTTGGCGGGCCTTGAATGCTTTCTGGTTTCACTGAGCTCACTGGGCTGACCCAGCTGAGGCAAGGTGGAATTACACGCAAGCTTCTGTGTTCCCCACGTATATGCACAAGAGAAGTGTGTGTGTTTGAGCGGGGGAGCGGGCAAGGGCTGGAGCTGGGAGGAGGGGAAGGTTTGGCCTACGGTATCCACGAGACATAGGACGGCTTTGAATTTGCCTTCTTTCTGCAGGACCACAGGCAGCAAAGGTCTATAAAGGGCCTGTCCGTAAATATCTAAGGCTTTGCATGGATTCTCCTGCATATTATTTATTTATTTATTTTTTTGTTTGGTTTTGTTTTTCTCCGGTACCGGGAACCGAACTCACGACCTTGTGCTTGCCAGGCAGGCGCTTTGCCGCTGAGCTAAATCCCCAGCCCCCATATTATTTATTTTTTATAACCCTTTAAAAATGTAAAACCCGCTGGGGATGTACCTCAGTGGCACAGCACAAGCCTGGCAAGTGCAAGGTCCTGAGTTTGATTCCCAGTACCACAAAAAAAAAAAAAAAAGGTAATAAAAATGTAAAAGCCATTCGTAGACCACAGGGGCTGTACACCAGTTTGCAGCACCCAGAATCAAGCCCTTCTGCCTTTCTCCAGAGCTCCTTCTCTTTCTTCAAATATTTTAGTACTCTGCCTTGCTGACAGACATTAGGTGAGCCCCTGGATTCAAGCCCCAAGCTGCAAGCCACCCTGAGTTTACCTGGTTCTTTAAGGTGCTTCCTAAAGCCAAGGCTTGGGCTACACACAGCAACCTCTACTCCGTCACCGCTGCTGGGAGAGCCGCAGGAACGGGAAGCAGCGCTTCCTCCACAAGGGACAGCTGTGAATACCTGCAAAGCTCTCATCAGTCTCACGCTGCTCAGAGCAGCTGCTCAATGTGGCTGTCGGAGTAGGGCCCGTAAGAACCTTGCCCTGACATCCCCTTTGCCTCCCAAAGAGCAGTAGATGGGACCTACTGAGCCTGAGGGTCAGGGCTTCTAGCAAGACAGTTCAATCCCAGAGCTACTGGCCCAGTGTTCCCCAACTCAGACACAGCCTCAGCCGGGTCAGCAGTAGATTCGGCTCCACAATGCTCTGGCGTGTCTCACTAGGCACGCCGTACGCCTCCACCAGCAACTGAGAACATCACACACACGGCCTCCGCCTGACTTGGGTGCTGGCCTAACGCTCATCACCCAGTCACTACAACAGAACCATGGCAGAAGACTTTAACCGCACAGGTGGCTGCCTCTCAGCACAGCACACGCTCAGCAACAGGGCTGGATGCGTTTCTCCGCTGACTTTACCTAGCAGTGACCTGCTTGGTGCAGTCAAGCCGAACGTCTTAACGCTTCTGGGGTTCTAACAAAACAAACAAAAAAACTTGTTTGGAAAAACTCTTTCTGGGACAGCATTATTCCTTGGAACGAGCCTTGGTCATTATTGTATTTTAAAAACAAAGAGCATAGCAAGAACAGAGGTAGGACTCATGGTGCCATCCCAGAGTTCTTCCAAGAGGGCCGGAGGAACCGTGGACCATGGTGATGATGTCACCACGACTCTTCTGCAGGCTGCAAATGGAGTATTTTGGATGTGTGTGCCTACCTGTATGTGTTCTTTAATGCATGATTCTTCTTAGAAACAGTACAAGGTGTGTATCTCCTGGCCGAAATTTCTGGATCTCCCAGGCCACACCCTGCTACCTCTCCTTTCTTCTTGTGCTGTAAATTATTTGTGTTCTCCTCCTCCCATGGTAAGAGGGAGGAAAGCCTGGATGACTTTGGTTGTTTAAGACAAATCAAGATGTAAGGGATGGATCAGAACCCACATGAAACTAAGGGAGGGACTGTACGGAAGTGTTAAGTCCAGTGAAGCAAAGTGGGGCGGGGGTCAGCTTTTGCTCATCCTCAGGAGGTTTTTCAAGTTTTCTGGGGCAGATTTCCCTGATGGTTTGGAGGTTGCAGCTGGGTTCCTTGGGGTGGCCTGGGGTTCATGCAAGAAGGAAGACTTGCTGCACTTGGCATCCTGGGAGTCGGCGGTAGTGGATGTGTCGGCCTCGCTGGACAGGTCTTCTGTTGAGAAGTTGAGGCTTCCCAGCTTGGCAAGAGAGTGGGAGCGCTTGAGTGGGGACGAGACAGTGAGGCCTGCCAGCCGGAGTCGGGTCTCAATCTCCTGGGTGCGCTGCTTCACCAGCCCTGGCTTCCCCCGGACACTGTGGATGCTGTCGCTGCTGGAGCTCCGTGTCAGGTTGGAGCTCATGGACGACGACGTGGGAGTATAGCAGATGGTCTTCGGGAAGTCTCTGGAGAAGTTACTGGTGTGGTCCAGGCGGGAGAGGAAGGGAGGGGGGCTCTTCAGCAAGGCTCCATCCGGCGGCAGCGGAGTGGCCTCCGCCTTCTCATCACCTCCTACCCGGCCAGGCAGAGCTGGGGGCTGTGGCTCCTGGAGCGAAGCCAACTCCGGGCTCTCCTCGGGGATGCTGTCCTCCAGCCTGCTGGCGACGCCGTCCCTGGACGGAGACACTGCATCCACAGGCAGGCTCTTCAGCTTCTCCAGCTCTTTGGTGTGCTTGCGGACCAGACCTGCCTTCTGGAGCTGAATGATGGACTCCTGGTGCTGCATCAGGTAGCTGTTGGTTGTTGGCTTCTCGGACTCGTTACTGAACAGAAGCCTCAGGTCCTTAGCTGGCTTCAGCTCCTTCTTGGGTAGCAGATCTTCCTTCACTTCCATGCTGGGGGAGTTCTTGTCACAGTGGGAATTCTTCAGCAGGGAGGACTTGGGCAGGACTTTTGGGGTCTCTCTGGAAGATTCCAGGAGGCTAGGTGGTAGCTCTTGGCCAGCCCCAGCCACACTGCCACTGCTCTCTGGTCTCCTTGAAGCTGCTGGTGGTAGCAATGGGGGAGAGTCGGCTGTACCAGAGGTTGGCTTCTCCAGAGCTCGGGACCTGCCGGACACATGGGTCATAGAGGAAGAGGTGATGTGGGGCAGGAGGGCGGGCTGGGTGCAGATGGCAGGAGCACTAGGGTCCTCACTTTGCTCCTTGAAGGCCTCAGGAGCCCTGCTGGCTGCAGGGTACATGCAATCGGCACAGGATTTGTAGGAAGGCTTGACTTTGGTGAGGATCCCAAATGTGGCATCGTGCTGGAAGGGGACAAGAGCACAGGGGGGCAGTATAATCGTGAGCCAAGGACGAAGCAGAGGGAGTGGGGATGAGCAGGGTGTGGAGCTGGGCAGAGGCGCTTTCCTTTGTTTAATGCTGAGAAAGGGAACTGCTGGGACCCACTTGAACATGCACAGCACAGGTCAGAGGACTGAGAAACACCGAGCCGAACTTCCCAAAGCCACGGCCTGGGATCCCAGGCAAACCCTGGTTACACGGCCAGGATGGTCGCGCAGGGGTCCTAGGACCTCCCTTGCCAACCTGCCTCGGCCACCTGTGCAGGGCGCCCCTGCTCCAGGCTCTGGTCTCCTCTGGAAAACAAGGTAACCCCTGTAGATCCCAGCACTAGGAGAAAGAAATGAGAGCACGCCTGCCACAGGAGCACAGAGGGGGGCCCTCGCTGGAGTGCCCACAGCCTGGGAACTGAGCCCCGCCTGTCCAGCATGAACACAGCACGGCCCCCGAACCATCACCTGGCTGTGGGCTCCACAAAAGAGGTGGCAGGGGCTGGGGATTTAGCTCAGCGGCACAGGGCCTGCCTGGCAAGCGCAAGGTCATGAGTTTGATGCCTGGCACCGGATAAAAAAAAAACAAAACACAGAAGAGGTGGCAAAGGACAAAACGGTTTTTGGGCAGTGACAGGGGCCTAAACACAGGTGCCTACAGGCCTGGACCAGAGGGCCAGAGGTACCTTCCACCGGTAGAAACATGCTTGTCTTGTTTCCCAAGGAAATCCCTGCCTTCTGATCACCAGGACTCTGAGTGGGTGGGACACGTGTCTTTACCCCTGGCCTTCCGCCAGGCAGGGCAACCCTTCAGGGCCTTGCAGGCCAACTGGCAGGTGGGGTTTGACGAGGTGAGGCTGTCAAAGGGTAGGCAAGGGGGGACAAAGGTGTGCTGTCCAGCTGTGTGACCTGGAGCGATGCCTCAGGCCAAGGGCTGATGGAGGCTTCTCAGGGTGCTCCCCTGCGCGTGCAGCCTGGCAGCACCCCACGCCCTGAGCCCCGGGCGTTAGCATCATCCTCTGTCGGTGACTGCAGGGGCAGGTGGGGGCAGCCTCAGGGAGGTGTATGTATGGCGGTATAAGAGGAGTCTTGCAGTAGACCTGTCGGTCAGGAACTCTGGCACCAGCTTCTGGGTTCTCCAGTCAAACCTATCTTGTCTAGCCAATGGAACCCTAAGAAGGCCTGAATTCTTGATGTAGACATTTCTCTTAAATTCTGGCCAAGTCCTTAACGTTTGCTTCTTCTAAAACCCAGGCTGAAGAAAGCTAGTACAGTGGGACTCTGAGAGAACCATTCAGAGAATTCCTTCGTTCCAGCCAGATTCACAGAATAGCACCTGCTGGGAACCGAGACTGCATTAGGTTCTAGGCCTGAGGACAAGATATCACCCAATCTCCAGGGGATGCCTGCTGCCCCCTGGTGGGAATAGGTCAGAAAGCTGTGTGAGAAGTGCCTATAATCTCAGCACTTTGGGAGGCTGAGACAGGATGCAAAGTTCAACACCTGTGCAACTTAGGTAGACAATGTCTCAAAATAAAAAACAAAAAGGACTAGGAATGGAGGACAGTGCAAAGGCCCCGGGTTCAACCCCTCTTACTGCAAAACAACAGCAAGACAAAACCAACAACAACGAAAGGGCTAGAACTGTAATCCTAACACTCAGGAGGCTGAGGCAGGAGGATCACCACGAGTTCAAAGCCAGCCTGGACTACAGAGTGAGACCCTGTCTCAAAGAACAACAAATAAACAACCCCCAAAAAACATCAAAACAAAACGAAAGGGCTAGAGATGTAGCTCAGCGTGAAAGCTCTGGGTTCAGTCCCCAGTCCTGGGAGGTAAGAGTGCCGGTGAGGAGGGCAGTGTGTGCTGAGGCTCCAGGGAAGGGAGCGCTGCGGAGGGGTGGGCATCTGTGGGACAGGCGAGTGCTGCCCGAGCAGAGGGGGAACAGCACACAGGCACGGAAGCGCGCATGAAGGGCCCAGGCATAACAGAGGGCGGGACAGGGCAGGAGGGGCGCAGGGGTCACGTCCTCACCCTCCGGAGAAGTGCACTTTGGTCCTCACTCCGTTCTGTGTCCCGGTCATCTCAGGCTCATCGCCCATGTTCTCACCTAGCCAGTCTCAAAGCCTTGCCATGCTGCCCAGTGCCCGGAAAAAGGCACACAGCCCTCCCGGCACACGCGGGGCACTCCCGTGCCTGGGCCCCTCTCCAGCTGCACCTTTCACTGCGGCCCTCCACCGCGGTGTCCGGCTTGTCTCTCCCACACCAAGGCCTCTCTGTCCTCAGGGGCCTGGCACCTGCTGCCCTCCTCGCCGCTGCTTCTCTGCACCGCACTCGCCAGCTCCTGTCACGGTCTGTTGCTGCAGAGGGCTCGCCACCTTTGTCCTCTTCGCTACAGCCTCCTGTGTTTACCCTCATCCGCCCCAAAAATTGCACGGGTGTCGGGTGGACGCACAGCCACACCCCCCGCAAGCCCGGCACACCATGGTTCACAAATGGAAGCTGGACACTGAAAAGGGTGCTTGTCTCTAGGTCCTTTTCCCCTGCTGGGGTCATGCGTTCAGTCTAACTCTGGTGGAGAAAGACCGGCTGAGACCTTAACTTCCCCTGCTGTCCAGGCCCCTCACCTGGTCACTGTGCAGTGACTCACAGTCATGCTGCCCTGCTCTAGCCAACCGTGCATCACTGTCCTCTCTAAGCAGTTCATGTCACTGTCTTTACTGGTACTTGCTCTCCGAGGGAGGTGGCAAGCAGCGAGGAAATCCGAAATTCCCATCTGGCTTGGAGGGAATACATCTTAGGACCCGGCAGTCGGTAAATGAACTTCCCAGTTTTGTCTGCACTAACGCCACAGTGGTTACAAACGGTTCCACTTGAGCGAGCCAGCCAGGGTCCCCAGCGCGCTCCCTCAAGACTCTCAGCCACCCTGCGTGGTGGGCAGAGGAGGCCAAGGGGCAGGGGGTTCCTCACCCCAGGCCTTGGTGCACCAGAGCAGCAGCAGAAGCCGAGACCAGCCTGCCCCCACAAACCAGCCCTGGCTCCCAGGCCACTTCCCCATGGTGACGCTGGGAGAGGGGGCGGCAATGAGTGATTTTCTGAGTAAGCACAAGGCTGATATTAAACTTGCTGCAGACTGTTTGCCAAGTGTAATAACTGGAGATGACTCTAAGCTGAAAGCCTAGACACTTGGTAATACCGAAAGGAAGTACTATCTCTTTCTTTTTGAGACAGGATCTCACTATGTAGCACAAGCAGGCCTGGAACTCGACTCTGTAGCGCAGGTCGTCCCTGAACTCATGGGGATCCTCCTGCCTCAGCCCAGTGCTGGGATTACAGGTGTGCGTCACCATGCCTGGTTACCGTTTCTTTTTAAAGGGTGACAATGGTACTGTGTCGTGTATCATACGAGAGTACTTGGGAACACAACGCTGTCTCTGAGATGCGTTGTGAAGTTCTCAGATGAGGGGAAGTGAGCCGCGATGTGACACACGGCTACAGGTGGAGGTCAGTGTTCCCCGCTTCACATCATGCCTTAAAGGACAAGAAAGGGAGCTGGAACCCCACCCACCAGTGGAGTGAGAGTGGGTGAGGACAGCACGCGGGGCTTCGGTTTATCCCCTGCAGACCCGACCAGCCCCGCAGCTCCTCTGGAGCAACGCCTCGGGGCCGGAGATGGCACCTGGGCTCTGCGGCAGCGGGGAGGCAACGGCGCGGTGCCAGGCCTACCTCGAAGTCGTCGGGGCAGCTCCTCTTGCTGTTGTTGTTGTTGAGGTTCTCCCAGTTGAGCGGGCTTCTGTCAGGTTGGCTTGGGGGCCGCGCCCGCCTCCCTGACCTCGGCCCCTCCTCCCTTTCCATCTCCTCCACCTGTGGCGAGGAGCCGCTGTGGGCTCTGGGGCTCCCGAACTCCAGTCTCTTCTTCACATCCTTCTCACAGAGCGCAGCACCTTCCTGGGCTCGCCTGGCCAGCCTGGGCGCCTCCGCGGGCTGGGTCGCATCCTCCAGCAGAGCATCCCTCTCCAGGTCCTCCAGGTGCACCAGGCCGCCAGTGTCATAGTTGGGGGAAGGGAGGAGGGGGTCTGAGAGTCTCCGGAAGCAGCAGGGGAGAGCGGGCCCTCCTGGGCTGGGGCTTCCCGGGAGCCCGGGTGGGGCGGCATCATCCAAGCAGGACAGCCGGCTGTCTGCTGGGGTGCCGTCCAGGGTCTCTGGTGAGAAGCCGCTGGGCTCCGCAGGGTCATCCACAGGCGGCTGGAGGCTGCTCTCTGCCTGCTGGCGCCACAGTTTGTTGTGCCGCTGCTTACTGTGGGGACAAAGGCAGAGGAAGTGAGCGGAGAGGGACAGCACCAGAGGGTCCCAGCAAGAGGCGGGGGTGCGGGGGACAGGGAAGAGCAAGCAAGGGACAGCGCAGAGTCAGGTGGGAGCCAGGGCAGCTTCTGGGCCTCTTGGCTCACTTGTTTCCGAGCACACATGAATGGGAAGAAATGCAACGCTAAGGCCCTAAGCCATGGCTTGCACAGGAAACTTTATGTGACTTTTCTTTTCTTTTCCAGTGCTAGGGACTGAACTCAGTCCTTTCACACTGGGCTATATCCCCAGCCCTTTAATTTTTTTTTTTTTTAATTTTAAGACAGGGTCTTGGGGCTGGGGATATAGCTCAGTGGCAGAAGTGCCTGCCTGGCAAGTGCAAGGTCCTGAGTTTGATTTGAGTTTATTTGGAGGTACCAAAAAAAAAGGGTCTTGCTGCTTTGCCTGGGCTGAGTTCAAACTTGTGGCCTTCTTGTCTCAGCCTCCCAGGGTGTAAGGATTATACCTGTGCACCACCACGCCCAGCTAGGCAAGCCTTCTGTGGCTTTTTTATCATCTGATGACAACTCCGCAGATAAGCTGAGAGTCCCCATCTGTGGTCTGGGTCTCAGTATTTGGCCCCATCACACTGTGTGAACTTAGTCACATTACTGATGCTCCTCTCTCTTTTCCAATCTGTCATGTGAGAACAATTCTCCTCTCCCACCTATTCTAGAGGGACATTAAGTGGATCAAAGCAAAAAAAAAAAAAAAAAAAAAAACGATCAAAGCAGAAACTGTGCTGGGGACATGGTGGCGCATGCTATAATCCCAGAACTTGGGAGGCTGAGGCAGGAGGATTGCCATGAGTTTGAGGCCTGCCTTTGCTACATAGTGAGTTCAAGGCCAGCCAGAACTACACAGTGAGACCGTCTTACACATACACACAAAGCAGAACGTGTATAAAGGTCTATATATACTACTATAACCATGTAAACATGTAACATATATGAATTTTTTGGGAGAGCCCCCAAAAAGTATAAATATTTTTTTAGAAAGGTAGGTAAAAGATGACAGGTAAAAGATCAGTTGTAAATGGTTTCTTCTAATTTTATTTTTTTCTTCAGTTTTGAGGAATGAACCTAGGGTTTCATCCAGGCAGGCAGTGGCTCTATTGCTAAATTATGCCCAGCCTCTATACTATTATTTTCATAGTACTTTCTTTTTTTTCAGTGCTGAGGATTGAACTCAGGGTCTTCTCACTGGGCTTTATCCCCAGCCCTTTTTAAAATTTATTTTTGAGACAGTGTCTTACTAAGTCATTAAGTTGCCCAGGCTGGTTTCAAACTTGGGATCCTCCTGTCTCAGCCTCCTAGGGAATTGTAGATGTGTTCTACATCTAGCTTCCTAGTATATTATTTAAATATAAGGAAAATAAAAGAGAGGGGACAATGGGAGGAGAGGGAGAGAAGAAGAGAGGAAAAGAAAGCGAGTGCTAAGAATGAAGTACGGTGACTAAAGCCACCCCTGACCATTGGAGCAAGAGCCACTGGCAGGAGTGAGGGTGGGAGTGAGGGTTAAGACAAGCTAAGTGTACATGGCATGTGAGTTAGGGATGTGCAGCTGCTCCCCAGTGCAAAGGAGCTCACAATCCTTTATTACTGTGTGCCCCATGTGACAATACTCCACTGGGCTGTCACTCAAGGTCGTAGTGTTGTGCACTATGAACCTGGCCCAGAGAACCCTGGTTAGACTGAGGGCAGCAAGTGTCGGACAGGCTAAGGGAGACAGCGGGACACACACTGGCCTCCTCTTCCAGTCCCTCACGGGACCTGTCCAGCCGCTCTCTGAGTGACAGTGAAGGAGTCCAGAGATGTCCAGGGCTGTTCTCTGGACCCTGTTCAATGCTGCCAAGGCACTCTTGCTTTCCCAAACTTGGCCAAGAAGCTGGTGGACTTAGCCTCTGGCTTCCTTCCAACTTGGGTCAGAAATACCCCAGGCAGGCCTCTTTCTCCTACAGCCTGGATGGGACGGCAAGGAGGGTGGGAGAGAGTATCCTGAGCTATAGGCTTCTTAGAGCACCTGGGGCACTGTGGATGCAGTGGGGACCTGCCTGGCGTCAGTGAGGGACCCACACCAGTGGACCCTGAGTGGCAAGATAACCTCAGGGCTGCCCTTCCTGAGTGCTCCCTGCCAAAGGGGTTGACACACTTAAGAGTGCTCTGTCCTTCCGTCCACTGGGGGCTGTATGACGTCTTACACGTGGGACATGTTAACCTCTCAGCCTGCGTTCCCTATCCACCCTTGTAAAAGCAGGGAGGGCTGTACTTTGCAGACCTTTGTTTGTTTGTTTGTTTTTGTTTTTTTCTGGTACGGGAAATCGAACTCACAACCTCACGCTTGCCAGGCAGGCACTGTGCCGCTGAGCTAAATCCCCAGCCCCCAATTGCAGACCTTTTTTGGGTGGGAGTTAACTGATTTTAGCAGCTGTATTTATTGACTACTCTCTAGGGGCCAGGCGGCAAAGAATCTGTAAAGGCGAACTTGTCTGAACTTATGTAAATCTCCTAACAGCCCCATTAGGTGGGTGTTGATTTATTTTTTCATTGTGGTTAAATGCACATTCCTGCTATCCTGAACACTTTTAGGTCTACACAGCTCAGCAATATTAAATACATCCAGAATGCTGTGCATCCAGTGTGGAAATGTGGCCCCACAACTTTTTTTTTTCCAGCAATGGGGATTGAATCTAGGACCTTAGCACTGAGTTACAGTACCTGTTCTTTTTATTTTGAGACCAGATCTTATTAAGTCACTAAATTGCCCAGGCTGGACTCCTCCTGCCTCTGCCTCCCAGAGTGCTGGGATTACAGGTGTGCACCATGACACCTGGCTCTGTCACTCATTTTGCAAAACTAAAATTGTGTACCCATCATACACTAATTCTCTTTCTCCCCCTCCAGCTCCTGGCAATCAGCATATTTTCTTTCTCTTTGAATCTGACTGCTCTTGGAATCTACTACATTTATAAACGAGGTTCACAGAATTTGTTTTGTTAGTGGATAATTTTACCGAGCACTTTTGTCTCAAGGTTGGTCCCAGCAGAATTTCCTTCCTTTTTTTTTAAGGATACAGGGCTCTCACCATGTTACCCGGGAAGGTAAGGTAAGGGAGGGCTTGTCCATCTGTTACCCAGGACAGCCTGGCACTTCTGTGCTCAAAGGACCCTCCTGTCTCAGGCTCCCCAGAGCTGGGACTACAGGCAGTGCCATCATACCCAGCTACAGTTTCCTTCCTTTTTAAGGCACAGAAACATTGTGCTGGATGTAGGTCTGTTTCACACTTGACCTAGGTATACAAATGTCTCACTAAACGAATGTCTTTCAATTCTTTTAGGCATACACTCGAGAGTGGAAATACTGGCCACTCTACTTTTCTGAGGGACCACTATTCTGTCTTCCAGTGTCTGCAGCATTTGACCCTTCGGTGGGTGTGAATTCTTCACTTGGAAGAGGGAACTGAGGCTTGGGTGATTTTCTGGGTTGTTGATGGTGGAACTTGACTGGTGGCCTCTGCTGTTCCTTGGCTTTCCCCGCCATGAAGCCTGCGGACCAGGCGTGGCACAAAGCAGGTGCTCAGGAAACGGGATCTGCACATGTCCACACCACACAGCAGGTCGGGCTTTGGATGAGGCGTTAGGCACTTTTCCCTCTGGTAGCAAAACAAGCTTTATGTGTGTGCCAACAGAATCAAAACGGATCCCTCCTGGAAACCACTCATCAAAACCCAAACAATGGTTATTTTTCTCAAACCAGCTCCCCCCGAAAGAAAGGCTTTTAGCTGCAGAAGCTGCTGCCAGGGCCAAAAGAAGCACGCTGGAATGCTGCGGGGCCTGGCAGGCTTGGCCACAGGGCTCCTCCAGCTGAGCCTGCCAACCCGCCTCTCCAGGCAGGCACCCACCTTGCATCCAAGATGCCTTCATACTCAGACAGCTGCCTCATAAAGCCCGCATTGGGTCGCGTGATGCTACGCTTCTGCTTCACATAGTTATATGCTTTTTCCAGGGGCCAGCCAAATTCCTTCATCGCATAAGCTATGACTGTGGACGCGGATCGGCTGACACCCATCTTGCAATGAACCAGGCACTTGGAATGGTTCCTCCTGCAGGGTAGGAGTGGTTCGAGGGGGGAAAGGATTACTAATCTTCAGTAACTTCAGTGTTCAAGCTTTACCAACTGATTCTTTTTTTAAGCCCTGAAGTTATCTCCTGGCTGAAATCCTCCTATGTCCTAATGTTTATGGAACAGATTCCATGTACCCTCTAAAGGAAATAACTTGGCTGTGAAATCAATTAGCAAACAATGGGAAATCAAGATAAATTTGCCCTGGCCTAGTCCAGCTTTGCAGGCTGGCTTCAAAAGGCAGAGGCTGTTTTCACGGACAAAGTGGGAATCCTCCCAGGCACTAGAAAGGCTGGGTCGCCTGCCCCTTTCTGGGCAGCAACTGGGCAACTAAAGAGATTCCTGCAAAAAGCTGCTCAGCTGCTACAGCAGATGGAGATGCTGAATAAGCTACTCTAGAACACAGGGTCAGTGAAGTGAAACTGCACAGCCCCGGGGAGACGGAGGCACTCTTCTGCAGCAGGGGCAAGAGCCAGAATGGCAGCAGCTTTGGCTCAGCCACAACAGAAAGAGGCCAGGGGAGGAGAATGACTCCTGAAACAGTGCGCGGAAGGGAACCCCAGGCTGCACCCAGGGAACTGCATTGGTGCGGAAGGCTGCCTTGGCAGGTGGGAACAAGCGCGAGGCTCCTATACCGGAGGCTTGAATTTCCTCCCCAAACTGCTGCCCCCACCAAGTCTCCATCAGGGAGCCCTGAGTATATCCCCCGGAAAGCCAGAGTCTAAGACGAGATTTTGGTAAGGGCACACGTGTGGCTTTGACCTACAGAGGCACAAAGGAAGAAGACGTTTCTCTTGATAGCATTTACAGGGGTATGGCTCGCTCTTCAGGATTTCAGTGAGACAGCTGTTCCACAGGAGACAAAAGATGGGTGAGACCACTGATGGGCTCAGGGGCAGTGGGCTGCCCTCCTCCTCTGATCTGTCCCGATTTAGGTGCACAGGAGCAGTAACGCTGTACTAACTAGGACAAGAAAGCCCATATTTGGGGGAGCAGCCCCTACAGAGGTCTCAGTTTTGTGTGCTGGCCCTCCCCGGGTCTCCTTTGGCCCTACAGCTCCTTATAGGGAAAGTTCCCCAGTGTCCCTTGGTATTGGATCCTTGCCTGGAAACAGGGCTGATGACAAAATCTGGGGTCAATGTCACAATTAGGGGCAGGTGGGAGAGAACGAGCTCTCAGGTCACAGACGACCAACGCCTAGGTTCCCCTTGGTGCCTGGGATCCCCAGACCTCAGAGCCTCTTGGCTGACCAACTTTTATGTTGGGGGCACTGCCACTCATTCTGCCCACCCATGCTGCCAGTCAGTGTCTTCACGGGATCAGCTTCCTTGCCCACTTACTTTGCTTTGTTTATAAAGTGATATGCTTCGTTCCAGTGGGCAAGAAGGTCTGTGGTCTCTTCATCATAGACTCGGATGTTGTGATATGCAAACAAACCAGGAAAGAAATTGTCTATTTCTCTGGTGACATTTAAAATGTAGTCAACCCTGCAATGAAAAAAAAAAAATGCAGACTCAGAATGAAGAGCTAAAAAGTAAAAGTAACAAAAAACTGCCAGAGGAAAATAAATTTTTAATGTACGTGAATAGAGTACATTTGTAGCAGGACTTTTCTTTTCCTTTAATTGTTTTTTAACTCCCTTTACCTGAGAATGCACTATTATTTGTACCAAAAAAAACCCCTCTTACATAAAAAACCTTACAAAAAAAGAGAATTCAGTTTTAGCACTAAGGAAATAAGTGTGTTACATGAATACATGTATAAACTCCTTAAATTTTCAAAATTTATAACTACTAATAGTATAGAGAATTAGCCAGGTAGGCGGCCCAAGCCTGTAATCCCAGCTCGTGGAAGGCTGAGACATGAGGATCACAAATTCAAGGCCAGCCTGGAGCAATTTAGTGAGACTGTGTCTCAAAACAAAAAAAATAAAAGCAGGGGATATAGCTCAGCACCTCCTGGGTCAAATTCCTAGTACTCCAAAATAGAAAAAGCAACCAAAGTACACAGAGGTTTAAGAACAACAAAGTCTGCACTCAAACAGTTAAAAGCAGAATATATCCATGTATCATTTATTCTTGGGAATTGCCTTTTTTTTTTTTTTAGAACAAAGGCAAGATATAAATAAATATTTGAGAGAGCCTGCTAACCCAGGTTCTGTAGTTCGGTATACTTAAGCAGTATTTTTATTTGTGGAAGACCAAAATAATTTTAGGAATTAGAAAACATCTCGCACAGGTTTCATAAGTGAATGTACATGAATACTTATAAAACATTAAAAGATAATTTTTAAAGATACCTTTAAAAATCACCTACTTGCTCCCAACGAGAAGCAAGTACACAGAGTATTACCCCATATCTGAATACTCTGTTGACCGCTGCTTAACTAGTAGTTTCAAAGATATATTTTAAGATTTGTTTAGTCTTGGTTTTCAAATGTAGTAATTCACGAACGCCATCATGTTAGACCCACAGAATGGTGATTTTGTGGCTATGTTGTTTAAAAAAAAAAAAGTCCAGACATCTGTTCTTCAAGGTCTAGGTTTAAACGTTTTTCCTTTCTGCTGCTGAGCATTTATTTCTCAGAGACAGGCATATGTTTCTGCCTAAACTTATTTAGTTGCAAGATTCCCACAGGTCCAAATATAACCTCAGAAAGGGCCTGCAGTTTGAAGCGCTGCTGACTGGCCAAATGGCCAGCAGAGATGTGCATCTACACCAGGACTGTCAATGACTCTGCCGGCCAGTGAGGTGGGGGAGGGAGCTGGAGCCCTGTCAGAGCTAGGCCATCTTACGCCATGTGAGTATGATTCAGAAAGCTCCTCCCTGCCATACACAATCACATGACTCCAGGAAAACCTAAAACCTGTGAATTCACAACGTGGCATTCTGAAGCACATCTGCGCAGCTATGCAAGTCAGCCCCTCTGGCCACTTCAGCGCCCAGGGTTTGGTCAGTCAGAGGCAGGCAGCCCAAGGTCTCAGCCTCCATGGCTGGCGGAGCAAAGGCTCCTGAGCTGCCCAGAAGGACAGGGGAAAACAAGGGGTGCAGACTCACCCTGAGCCCTGTAGCTCCTCCAGATTGGATGCATTCCATTCAGAACCCTGGGGGACAGATCACACAAACCCCTGTTAAGTGTTAGTTAGCCTCTGAGCTGCTTGTGGGAGGCATGTGTTACCCTAGCCTTAATGGTGGGGCTTCCTTTCACAGCCCTGGCCTCGGAGAGAACTGGAAGGTGCAGGCATCCATGCAGGTCTCCCACGGCCTGTGGGAAGGTCAAATCCAGGGAAACCTGTTCCCTTCTCATTACTTCCTTTCCCAGGTCTGTGGTCACCAGAGGCAATGACTGGCAACTTCTGCCCCACTAATAGAGACGGGAATCGTTCTACCTTTTCTGGGAAACATTTTGGCAATATTTTAAAAAGTTCCCACCCTGTGACCCAGTAATTCCACTTATAAAATGCTATCCCGAGGAAGTAACAGAATTCACACAGTGATTTAGGAACAGGGATGTTTATGATTATTTGTAATAAAATAGTGGAAACAACCCAAAGGTCCAACAGGAAGAAATCAGTAAAATAAATGAGGATGAATCCTTATGATGGAGCTATTAAATAAATCAGCCTTCTGCAGACTATTTAGCGGCACACAGGGAAATACCACATGAGGAAAAAGAAAAAAAAGCAGGGTACAAAAGTGCACAAACAAAGAATATAATTATTTCCTGTTCTTTTTTTCTTCTTTACAGTACTGCGAATTGAACTCAGGGCCTTTGCACTGGACTACATCCTCAGCACTTTTAAACATATTTTGAGACAGGGTCTCACTAAGTAGCTCAGCTGCTCAGACTGAGCCTGAAAATGCCATTTTCTGGCCTCAGCCTCCCTGTGCTCTGGGATTATAGGTGTGCATTACCACATCTGGCTTTTTCTTTTTAAAAAAGCTACGTAACCAGCTGGGCGTGGTGATGCAAGCCTGTAATCCCAGCACTCAGGAAGCTGAGGCAGAAGAATCATTGCAAGTCTGAGGCCAGCCTGAACTACACAGCGAGACCTAGTCTCAGGGAAAATAAAAAAACTATGTAACCATTAAAAAAAAATCCAATGGACAAGGCCCTGAGACTGATTTCCAGCACTATAAAAAACAAAACAAAATGCTTCAAAAAACATCAGATGGGAAAGTAAATGAACCAAAATGTTAAGAGCACCTACCACTGCCTGTGTGAGACAGGGTTGGGGGGTGTTTTTCTCCTTTAGACTGACTTATATTTCCAACCTTCAAAAACATGTTTTAATCATACTACTTTAAGAACTGGTATCATTAAAAAACAAACCCTCAACTCCTGAACTTTCAGCAAATATGGAGGGGAAACACGAAGCGAAAACAGTCACTTTGGTCTTAGGAAACGCAGACTGAGGCAGAGTAACCAAGGGCGAAGGCATGCAGAGTCCTGGTTTCTCGGCAGCCATCCTTTCCTGAGTTCCCCAGTGGACAGGCCCTGCTGGGACCCGTGCTGCAGGGCTCTGACCAAGCTGGCAGTGTAGTGCAGAATGGGTTTGCATATGTGACAGCCCAACCCTAAAAATTTTTAATAGAGCTTTAATAGAGCTCTCATGGAAAAAGTGACATAGACACCAACCCCTCCAATATGCATGTAATCAACCTCTCTCTCTCTCTCTGGAATGCTCCACAAAGGCTTTCTAACCGTGACCACCACCTAACAGAGAAAGTGGAGGGAGGTGCCTTCCAAAGGATTTCAGCAGGGACAAGATCAGTGCCAATGCTCCCTGCCTTATCTTTCAATGTACTGTACAGTCTTCAAATCCACACATGTATATACACCTTCCTGTGTACATATGAAATATATACAGATAGACATACACATATCAACGCATCAAAACATATAGCTAGGTAGGTGTCATGGCACAGACCTCTGGAGGATGCACTTACTTCCTACAGGCTAAAGCAGTGTTCCTGCCTTCAGCAGCCCACACTCGCCCTCAGCTTCCAGGTTGTACTTTCTCCCCGTCACACACAGACTATTTATAACAGTGCCTCCTGACCCTGCACTCAGCACCTTCAATGTGTACTTTATGTAATGCTCATAATCATCTGGTTAAGTCAAGGAGGAAGGCAGAGTGGTACGTTCCAAGTCCTGTAGCAGGAGAGGCAGAGGCACAGGAACTTGGCCCTGCTGGGTCTGACTTTTATTCTACCCCAAGGCCTCCTACCTAATTTTAGTAACATGCCTTCCTCTATAGTCTCTGACTTTGAAAGCTTGCCAGTTGCCTTCTATAGAGTTTATAGCACAGAGATACTCAGCATGACCTGAGGTGCAGAAAGCTGCCCAACCCACACAGAACTTCATGACCTACGTGGCCCCCACCCGTGGGCTTCGGGCACAGTGCACGGGAGCAGCCATCTGGACAGGCTCAGAGGGGAAGCTCTGATGCACTTGGCAATCTGGCTGCATGCTGTTTCTTGTGTCTCTGGATGCCTGGGCACAGTTCTGGGACTCGGTGGGTATACATGTTATTAACTGGGGCCCTGGGCCCATGAGCCACTTGGAGGTAACTGGATGGGGCCTATTTGTAGCGAGTGAAGAGGACTAAGGGCCGTGAGGGTCTGAAAACACATGCCAGCTAACTATGCCACCCCACTTCCAGCAACCCTGCAGCTTGGCTGGGGCTGCACCTCTAACATCTGGTGCCAGAGCAGACCAGTAGGCTGCAGGCCAGAGGCGGGGTCAGAAAGGGGAGCTCCCAACAGAGATGGGATGGGAGCTCCAGTGACTCAAACTTTTTCCTTCTGACTTGTTGCAAGCTCCAAACAAGGTCTGATTTATGATCCCCAAAACAGGTACCACTGGGCTGTGCCTCTTACGAGATACAGGTGATCGAAGATAAGGGAAGGCTTGTCCATCTGTCCCAAGATAAGCAGCATCTCGTTGTCTATGAATCCCTTGAATTCTTTCAAGTTACAGTTCATCTGTTTCTCTAACTCGTTACGGATCTGCAAAGTGGGAAATGTTAGGAAGAGTGATCTGTTAAAAAAGCTGTCCACCTCCAAGTAATTAAAATCAAAAGGCAAACTGTGACTGTTTTCAAATAGGGTGCTTTCTTTCTTTGTCTCCCTCTCTCCTTCTCTCTCTTTCTCATTTTCCTCCCGAGTAATGCATTTAGATGCAAGCAGCACATGCGTGGGTGGCAGGAATTCACGTTACTCAGCCTCCAAGTAAATCCAACTGGGGGAAATTTATGATTTCAAATAAAGAATCTGATTTTCATAAGATCTTTTCTACTGAGTTTAATGCATTTATCTTTTCACAATTAAATATCAAATATATCACTGTGAGACTGTAAATTCAGTTTTCTTTTGCCTGGGAAGGTATCACAGTATGATTTCTAAAATATATTAATAAAATATGTATTAAAGGGCCAGGGATTTAGCTCAGTGGTGCAGCGCCTGCCTGGCAAGTGCGAGGTCCTGAGTTTGATTCCCAGCACCAAATAAAAGTATTAAAATGTATATAACTAAGCCAGGCGTGGTGGTGCACACCTGTAATCCCAGCACTAGGGAGGCTGAGGCAGGAGGATTGTTTTGAGTTCAAGACCAGCCTGGGCTACAAAGTGAGCTCAAGGCTAGCCTGAAATGCATAGTGAGACTCTGTCTCAAAAAGACAAAAAGAAAAAAAAGTATATAACTTTCGGGTTTTTTTGTTTTTTGTTTTTTGTTTTTTTCCAGTACCGGGAATCAACTCATGACCTTGCGCTTGCCAGGCAGGTGCTGTGCCACTGAGCTAAATCCCCAGCCCCTATATAACTTTCTAAAACAATAATTTCAATCATTTATCTCCATCTAGTTTTAAGTTGTTACTATAATTCATTGCATTCCTTGAACAAAAAGGAACAGTAAAACAAACAAAAAATCCCAACTGATTCAAGAAAAACATCAAAGGGAGAGAAGACAGTCCAGGATTTGCAACTTGCTGTTCAATTATAAACCTGTAATTAAAGAAAGAAGTATTTTGGTTTTTTTGAGACAAGGTCTCGCTATGCAGTTCAGGGTGGCCTTGAACTCACTTTGCAGCCCAGGATGGACTCGAACTCACAGAAATCCTCCTGCCTCAGGCTCCTGAGTGCTGGCTTCCCAGTGTATACCACCATCCTTGGCTGAAGGCAATTTTTTGTCTTTCACATAAAACACAAGGCAATGTGGGGCAGAAGAGGTGGGAAGGGCATTAACAGCAAATGCTGCCAGACACAGTAACACACCTGTAATCCCAGCTACTTGGGAGACTGAGGCAGGAAGATTCCAAGTTTGAGGCCAGCTTGGGCAACTTAGAGACATCCTGTCTCAAAATTAAAAGGCTAGAAATGTAGATCAGTACTTCCTGAGTTCAATTCCCAGTACTATGGCTGTGTATGCCTGTGTGTCAGTGGGTGTTTGGAGGGATAAATGTTCCTGGTGCAACCCATCACCTCATGGAATTGTCATGAAAGGTCAAAAAGGTTCACAGAAGGCAAAAACACATCCAAGGTCTCACAGTTTTAGTAGTGGCAGCTCTGGAATTAAACGACAGCCAGCCATAGCTCAGAGGCATAAGTGCTTGCCTGGCAAGCGCAAGGTCCTGAGTTCGATTCCTAGTACAAAAACAAACAAACAAACAAACAAACAAAAAAAACACACAGCCAGACTCCGAGGCCTGTGTGCCTTCCACAAAGTCCTGTTGCCCTTGTATAAAGGCAGAGAAAAGCCTGTAAGAGAGGGTAAGCAGATCTGGAGATGACACGGTGTTGGTCAGGCCTGATTCTGCTGCACACATGTATAGCCTAAAACCCCTCTGGCCTGCTACCAGAGCAAGAGTCCTCTTACTTCTTTGGAGGTCACATTTTCGAGATCCTGGCTCATCATGATGCTTCGCAGTTTGGCTTTGATGAGACGCTCAGTCCTTTCCCCTTCAGTGGGCCTGGAAAGAAAGAACACTTAGGGAAGCACAGAACCACAGGATGCCTAAGGTCAGGGGCCGCAGAAACACCAGCTGCTCTGGGGCATAGTGCGCGTGGCCAGGGCACGTAGAGCCCACTTCCAGGGTGCTGCTTTGTGGGGCTGAGAGAGGTGTGGATGCCTGCTCCATGCGCAACTCCTGTAGGAGGTGCCACGGACAGGAAGGCAGCGAGGAGGACAGACGGCAGTCTGGAAACTCACTCCCTGTTCAGGCTCTGCAGCGCCAGTCTCTGGGGGCTGGATCTGCCTGTGTGCTGCCCCAGAAGGTTCCACTCTTTCGTCTCTCCTGAACATGCCCACATATGCAGCTGTTGCTGTGTCCTAGCGGCCTGTCCTGCCCCGAGCCCAGCTCCTGTCATGTCCTTCTCATACGGAACCAACATCTATGCCTTCCTTATAACTTCTACATACCAGCCCTTCCCAGGGTCACACAAGACCAGGACAGTCCTACCTAAAGTAACATCACTTCTTGCCACACCTTCTGATGATTTCTGTGCACACTTGAATAATGTGGCTTCCAGTCATCTGGGCTGCTTCCCCCCTGCCCACAGCTGTCTTCAATTCAGCACCAGCCAGGCATGGTGGTGCATACCTATATCCCAGTACTCTGGGAGGCTGAGGCAGGAGAATCATTAGTTCAAGCCTACCTACCTACTGATTTAACAAGACCCTAAATTAAAACATTAAAAAAAGGGGCTGGAGATATAGCTCAGTGTGCAGGCCCTGGGTTCAATTACCAGTACTGCAAAAAACACAAACTGGGCATAGTGGCACACATTTGTAATTCCAGCACTTGGGAGGCTGAGGCAGGAGGACTGCCAAGAGTTCAAAGCCAGCCCGGGCTACCTAATGAGTTCAAGGTCAGCCTGAATTACATACCAAGATCCTATCTCAAACAAAACAAAGCAAAATAAAAAAAACAGTGTTCCAGCAGAATGTGACACTTGGGGAGTAGGCTCTTGACCCGTGAAAACAGCTTCCTTCCTTTCTCTCAAACTAAACTCTGAAGAGCATGGCTTCGGGCCGCATTAGCACCACTGGTGACCATATGACAAAGGCTATCTGCTTCACTATCGCTGCTGCAAAGGCAGACTCCTGGATTAAGGCACCTGAAGAGACAGAGATCATGTTCACGAGCTCTATAGAAGCAGAGAGGGAAGCTTTGGACATTTAAGACCCTGGCAATGTGCAAAGGAAAGGCCCAAACACAGCACTGCCCAGGGAAGGTGAAAAAGACAACAGCACATCCTCTGGGGTCTGATGAAGTTAGGGATTTGTTCCCCAAACACATTCATCATTTGTCTCTAACTTTTACATGGGGCATATGCCACACACCCAGCAGCCCAAGGGGTCCCAGGGCCCCAGATTATATCCTTGCAGCATAAGCTGGTTCTGGGAAGGTGATGGTCCATCAAGGTTCTTCCGGGAGCTGTGCCCCTGGCGGGCCTGGGGCCGGGGAGCTGGGTGCCACACGTACTTGTCAACAAACAGCGCCGGGGAGTCGGGCCGCGTGGACTCCAGGTCCTGCATGGCATTCCACTCGTTGATGCAGCTCTGCTCCGACCCGATGCAGCTCTCATAGTAGGTGGCCCAGATGAGTGCCACGCCGCCGGGAAAGTAGTTGTGCCTTCGAGCCACCTCACAGGCCTTGTGAAGCACCTGCAGGGCAGACCTGGGGGTGAAGGTGGGGAGGGTCAGGCCTGGAAAGGCACAAGTGCTGGGTTTTCCCTGTGACAGAGGTTTTAAGGTGGGGAGGTTTATAAAGGACTCACATGCTTACATACAAGGGCGTGCGTGCAACAGCTGGCAGCCGGAAACAGCTGGCAGGATTCAGAGCCAGTCTCTAGGATGTGTACCTCAACCGTGTCCACAAGCACGTGGGACACCCTTCGTCACTTCCAGAGGGGTAAAAGATAACAACAAACCCCTAAACTTCGTAACTCTCCCAAACAGGCTGGTTCACATGTTACTTGACGTTCCTTTATTAACTCCAAAGGATTACGATTGACTTTTGAAGCCGTGCTATCCTTGAATGTAGGAGCCACGATGAAGCCTCACAGCAGAAAAGAAAAGCCATTCCTATGCTGCAGAGCGATCGACTGCATCATCCTAGTAAGGGAACTTCTGACTTCTCCACCAGCCCATCGACATGCTCACAGCTTAGAGCAAAGCCTCCTCCCACAGAAGCTAACTGAAGAGGGGCTCTGGGAAGCACGGAGGGGCAGAAGAAACGACACTGAAAACATTTCACTATGTCACCCTCTTTTGCTTCTCTTTGTAAAAATCACATCTGTTCTATGATCTTCAGCTGCCCCACGCCTAGCAGAATGCCGTTCCCTTCACTGAAAACTCAGCACTACTGTGTACCAAGTAGATGGAACAAGTGACATTTCATCAGCACGGGCTATGGATATATAAAAATACACCTTCCACAATAATTTTTAAAATGCAGTTTAAAAATGGGCAAAGGACTTGAACAGACTTCTCTCCAGTGAAGATACACAAATGGTAAATAAGTGCATGAAAAAATGCTCAACATCAAGTCATTAGAGAAACGCAAATCAAAACCATGAGACACCATTTCACAGCCGTTAAGACGGTGATCACAAGACAGAAAGATGGTCAGGTGCACTGGTGCACATCAGTAATTCCAGCCCTCTAGGAGCTGAGGCAGGAATGTCTCAAGTTTGAGGGCAGCCTTGGCTACTTTAGGGAGACCATGTTTCAAAACAAAAGAAGGGCCGGGAATGCAGCTCAAGGGGAGAGTGCTTTCCTGGTATGCACAGGGCCTGGGTTCAATCTCCATTACTGCAAAACAAGCAAACACACACACACACACACACACACACACACACACACACACCCCAAAACAAATGAAAAAACCAGGAGTTGACTGGTATGTAGGAACTGGAACCTGATACTTTGCTGATGGGAATGTAAAATGGCAGAGCCACTATGGGAAAGTTTGGTGATTCTCCAAAATGTCAGCACAGAATTACCACACGATTTAGCAACTTCACTTCTAGGTATATACCCAAAGGAACTGAAAGCAGAGCCTCCAATAAATGCACACAGAGTGTCACCAGCATGACTCACACTATCCCAAAGGCAGAAACAACCCTAATGTCCATCAACAGATGAACAAACACCATGTGATACATTCATACACAGAGTATCATTCGGCTTTTAAACACATAAGGAAAAAATTGGTGCACGCTACAACATGAACAACCCTTTGAGCATTATGCTGAAAGGTATGAGACAAATACTGTATAATTTACTTATTTGAGGTTCCCGGAATAGGGAGACTCATACATAGAAACAGGAAGAATAGAGGTTATCAGGCCTGGGGAAAAGGAAAAGAAAAGTTCTGAGTTAAGGGGTTCAGAGTTTCTGTTTGGGAAGATGACAAAGTTCTGGAAATAGTGTGAATACACTTAATGGCACTGAACTGTATGTTTCAAAATGGTTAAAATGCCAATTTTATATTAGGTGTATTTTGCCACACATACCCTTAAATAAGCTTATTAGTAGAGGGGGTTTCTCTATTTTTGCAGGAGTTACAAGTTCCTAAAACCCCACTTACCACATGGCCTGGACAGATACGGGCTTAAATATGTGCATCCTCCCGGCTGTGCTCACGCTGAACCCACTGAGAACGAAAAACAAAAGGAAAGGGACCCACGATGAGAAATCAGACCTCTTTAATCACTGTGTGCTCTGAGAACAAGAAAGTTCATCTCGAGCTGTCTGATGAAGCATCATAGCACCCACTGTAGCAGAAACATGGGCAAAAGCTGAAAAAAATCCCCTCCCATATAGGAAGTCTTGTTTTTAACCCAGCGAGACCAGCTCTGCCAAACACTGAAAGTCCAGCAGTCAGGGAGAAGCAAGTAGGACGTTTGACACCATCTCTTATGTTTCTACAGCTGTCCCTGGCCACCTACTACCTCCACACTCCTCCCCTCTCCTTCCTGTAATTGTAAGGAAATACATTAATGGAAGACAAATTTTTTTTTGGTACCGAGAATCGAACTCACAACCTCATGCTTGCCAGTCAGGTACTGTGCCGCTGAGCTATCTCCCCAGTGACAAATTTTTTTAAAAAGGAAAATCTTCCCAGAATCCCACCACCTCAACAAATTAAATTTGTTTTCCCCTTCCAGGCCTCTCGCTGAAGCTGTATAACTTCTACCTGCTTGGAACCTCAGTGCAGGGACAATTTCCTATGTCACTTCTCTCCACTCACCATCGTACTCATGCATTCTCCTGGAAGCAAATGCATACCTAACAGACAGCCCTTTATCCCTCGCCTGCCTCCCCAGGCTGTGTCAATCCCCTCCGCAGGCCCCACCCGAAGCACTGCTATGGCTGTCAGCTGCATGTCTCTTCCTGGAATTCCCAAAACAGTGGGCACTTGCGGTAACCTACTCACCTGTGAACTTTAGGACCCTGCCCTACACAGCGCTCACAGTGACAAGCGAAGGTAAATGGAGGACGACCAGTGAGCTGCTGTTCTCGAACCTCATTCCGTGGTATATCTCCAGCAACACACTTTCACCAATACCACACCACCTAAACTCCCTTACAGAATGGACACCCTGTGAGACTCCCTGGAGAACACCACCACTTCCGCTAACATGTGACTAACTATCCAAGGATGCCTGAATCATCTCACACTTCTGGATCTACAGCGGAATAATCTCCAAAAGTTATGTCCTTACCCGTCTCCATCGAGGTGGATCTTCGTGTCACTCCACAGTCGGAGAACCATCCCGATGGTACAGCTCTTACTGCAAGGTGGGAAGAGAAGACGTCGGAGTCAGCATCTACCCACAACCATGCACGGGCTTCCCTGGTCTCCTCGCCCCACCGGTCCAGCTCACAGAAGAACTCCGCCGCCGACCTGGCGCAGGCTGCTGGGTGTGGACAGGCAGAAGTGCCCAGACTATCCGGGCAGGCACCACTCGCCAATGAATTCTAGCTGACACGGGTCTGGGATGACTGTGCTAAAGGGAGTCATCAAGTCCCTGATGTGTGACCTTGGGGCCCAGGGAGCAACTAACTGACCAAGTGCCACACGTCGGCGGGGAGAGGGTGGTGGCTGGTGCGGTGCTGCTGGAGGGTCAGGCCCAGCTGAGGTGCAGGGCTAAGTAGTGGCAGCCACCCCAGCCTCACTAGTCCTAGGGTGACTGCAGAGAGGAGAACGCAGTTCACCTTCGGACTTCTGATTTTCTACGTTTTGTGTAGCTACCATTTTACAAACTAGCTGAATCCGGTTCTGTTTTGCCTATGCTAACAGGGAAACGATACTTATCAACTTTAGAGACTGGCGCCACTGAAACACAGAGAGAAAAAGGGCTTATCAGAGGGGCTCCTAAGATTCTTATGAAAAGTCTTTAGGTACTTAAAAAAGGGTTGGCTTGTGACAAACTGCTGCAGCTGCGCCAAGGGCTGGCCTGACACCCGCCAACCGTCCTGAGCGCACGTCTCCGCACTGCTTAGCGGCCCCTTGGGAGCTGGCTGCATTTGCTCACACACCTGTGTGGACAGGGAGCTCGGGTGCTTAGGAGCTGGCTCTTTACCAGGGCACTGCTCGCTCTGCAGACCCCTTGCAATCTTGGGCTTTCCATCTGAGGGTAAGGTCACTTCAAGGCTAAGCTCTGGGTTGAGCAGATTCTCCACCCACCCCACTGACCACCCTGCAGTCCTACCGTCTTGGTGGGCTCCCTAGGGAAAAGGGGTCTTTCCAAGGAACATGACCCAGGACATCCTCTGGGGCAATGCTCATCCCTCCCTCCCTCACTCTTTCAGACTAAGGGAAGTAAAATCTCATAGAACAAATTTAAGAACACAAAAGTATTATGGCCTCAATAGGCCGAAGGCTTTTGGTAAGGGCTAGGACTTTTGTTTCAGAGAAGAATATGACAGCCTGGTGCCCAACAATGTGAGAGGTGCCGAATACCCACTGCCAGCACCCCTGCAACTCCTAGGCATGGAGGGCCTGCATCACAGCTGCACTGGGTCTGCCAACAGGAGGTCCCTCAGTTTCCACTCATGTTAGTCCAGCCGCGGGAGACCTGCAGCAACCCGAGAGTGGTACCTGCAGGCAGGCTGCAGCTTTAGCTCAACACAGGGAGAGGCTGGTCTGAGGGCAGACATGGAGTGGTGGCAAAAGGACCCCAGGGAGAGAGCGCCCCATGAGAACCTGAACTGGAGTTCCCATGAGAGGCAGAAGGAGGAAAGGCGGAAGTGGAGGGTGAGTCAAGAGTAGGTGAGAATAGGAGCCTGGCCCATCTCCCCTAGCTGGTAAAGAATGAACTTGGAGCATCTAACACCGTGACGTCCGTCTGTGAGACCACAGGTCGTGTCTCTTGTGCCTTATGAGCCCCAGTACCTGGCAGTCCTGGCATAAGGAGCAAGCTAACAGGTGTACATGCAATCAATGCATGAATGAGTGGGCGAACAAGCCCGTGCACGCGAAGGTGCTGCAGCACATTGGGAGGGACACATGAGGGTCTCCCCAAGCCCAGGTCCCTGCTCACCTACTTACTGGGACGACCCTGGTGCGCTCACTGCAGCCTCCTGGGCTTCCGACTCCTCACTTGCACAATGACAGGCAGGGCTCCCCACCCCCAGGGAAATTTAAGGATTTGAGATGTTCATAGGGCATTTGATCAACTGTGTTGTACTTTGCAGCTTTAGCCAGAGATGCCTGGGAAGAGGTAGGTTACACTCCCAAGAGGCTTCACAGTCAGGATCAACATCAAAGGTACAGCCCAAGGAAAGCAGGTTTCAGTTCAGGGTCAGAAACAATTACTAAGCAGATCTGGTGGTGACAATTCTCCACTCCTAAAAGATTTCCCTAGGACTGCGTAGTCATGTGAAGAACAACTGCAGTTGTAACGCTTAAACACAGAACGTGTCTGCCTCACAGCCCCCAAAGAAGGGCCCTCACCATGTCTGGGAGCACTTGCCCAGGGGCATCTGCCACAATGCCCCAAACTGTCTAGTCTCCAAGTGGCTCTTCAGAGCTCCACTCCTGGTACACGGTACACTGTGTGTTCACCCACACTTAATTCCCAAACGGCCTAGGAACACAGGTGCCAGCTCCAACTCTGACCCACTCAGTATGCTGCAGAAAACTTTTAAACGATGCAATGAGGCGCTGCAAGGAAATACCACAAAAGCACAGTCCTAACAAGCAACAGAATCTAGGTCACCACCTATGATCCAGAGCCACTTGCGCACACCAAGAAGACACTACTGTCCCGTAACCATGGCCATTCACAGCTTCTGAGAATTTTTCTGCTCCAAACTCTGCCTGGCCCTGCTCTACCCCTGAACTTGCCTTGCTGCCCACAGGTCTGGTAAGACCCAGCTGAAGAGCACTGGCTCCTCTGGCATGCATCCACCCCACTCTGTGTCCAACAGAGGGATGGGTGTCTCTCTGTCACTGAGCCTCTCACCCTCATGGCTAGTGACAGCTGTTTCCTGAGCTAGCCGATATCTCTCTGAGGTCAAGAACTATGTGCTGCTGCTTCTTTGCCTCCTGGGCCTCGCCAACTATCTGGTACACCGGGGAATGCCAGCAAACTATTTGCTCAGTGAATGAGTAGATTAATGGTAATGAATAAGGAGTTTGCTTTGATCTAGTTTTCATAGATCCATAGTGGGAAATGACCTCACATGCAGGAGTACATCCCAAATATCAGGTGAGCGGCTTACACTTGTAACAGGTCCATGATATAACCCCAGTGACCTCCGGTAACTGGGAAACTGCATGATGTTAAAGCCACTGACCAGCGACCTGCCCCAAAGTACTTGAGGCCCCGTGGTACAAGCCTTCTAGACCAGGTACTTGATGCGATGCCAGCAGGCGCATTCTGCCACATGGGCCTACGAGCTTGGAGGGTGCCCTCTGTGCCTGTCAGCCGGAAAGCATCCTCCCCTCTCCCAGGGCTGACTCTGGTTTACCCTTCTTGAGCAGCACAGCTGTCTCTTCCTCCAGGGAGCTTCCAGGCTAAGGTGCTCCTTGCTATGGTTTGCATAGGGTTGGAGTGTTTCCTAAAGGTCCATGTGCTGGAAGCTCAGTCCAGCTTGGTAGTGCTGAAGTGGTTGACCCTTCAAGAGGCGGGGCCTAGCAGAAGGTAAGTAGGTCACGGCTTCACAGTGGAAGGAATCCAGGCTGGCTTCATAGGGTGAGTTCGTTTCCACATATGCTAAACACATGCTCTACCAGTACCAGAGCAAGTTGTTACAAAAAGACCAAGCCTGACCCCTGGATCCCTCTAGTTTCCTGTCTTATCATGCGATCTCTTCTACACATACTCCCACCACTGGGATGCCATCTGCCATCAGCCCCTCACCAGAGGCCAAACAGATGGTGCTGCCTCATCTCGGACTTTCAGCTTCCAAAACAGTGAGCTAAATAAACTCTTTTCTTTATAAAATTCCCAGACTCAGGTATTGTGACAGCAACAAAATATAGACAGATGCCCCTCCTCTTCTGTAGCTCCCAGTGTGAAAAGTACTGTGTACTTGTTCTCGGTGTACTCTGAGTTCCCTGACAGCAAAGACTGCATCTGACACTGTACCCAGGGCACGAGAGCTGAAACGGTAACCCTCCTCCTCCAGGGCCTCACCCACCCTCTGTTCTCTACAGGATGCATCCCATGCTCAGCTCCCAGGAAGATGGGACACCATGGAAACTCTGTTCACTAGTAGTTCCTGTCCCCATCCCAAGGCAACCACCATCGCATGAGACTCACCTTTCCTTACTGGAGAAGTCAACTCCCAGCAAGATATTCTCTTCCGTGTCCTGCCGCCCGCTGCTGTACACCACCACCATGTAGCGGACGCGATCCGCCCAGGCACTCTCTAAGCGCACGGCCTGCATTGGGCAGGGATGTCCTCACTGGTCTGCTCTCCAGGGCAGCCCTCTTCTCCCTCCCCACTCCACCACACCAAGACCAAGAGCTTAGCAAGATGTGGTGGCACATGCCTATAATCTCAGCACTCAGGGGAGTTGAGGCAGGAGGATCACAAATTCCAGGCCAGTTTGGGCAACTCAGTGACTTAGTGAGACCCTCTCAAAATTAAAAATTAAAACTGTTCAGTGCAAAGGTCCCAGGTTCAATCCCTGTATTTTTTTTTTTTTTTTTTAAAGACCAGGAACTTTAGTACTCTCTCATTCTCTCCATGAAGGAAGAAGATAAGAGATAAAGATGAAATACTTGTGAGCAAAAGCCAGGTTTCACTTCTATCTGTAGTGCCAGGAATAGTGCCCAGCTCAGAGGGAAACTCAAAACATGTAAAATGAGTATACAAGTGAAATCCAGAGAGAAGATGGTATTTAGCGCAGACTGCTGCAGAAACCTGACACACCCTGCGCTGGCCCCCTGGAGTAAACGTGGCTTTGGCCTTTTTTTTCTTTTTTCTTTTGGTGCCAGGGTAGAACCCAGGGCCTCGTATAGGCTACGCACATACTCTACCAACGAACTGCGCCCCAGCCTGGCGTTAGCTCTTGGGATCAGTGTGGGAGAACACAACATCAGGTGAAACACTTTCCCCTTTCTGTTCATGAATGGCTCCCCACCAAATTTCACAATGAAAAATGAAAACTTGCCACTTTGATCTCTTCTTACCAGCTTGATTCTGTCTTCACAACGCAGAAGGTTGATCATTACTTGCAGATGTTGGGGCAGGTCACCTGTGGGACCAATGAAGAAAGTTTTAAGTCACCCACCTAGTTTCTAGGAAGAAAACTAGATTCTGAGTTGGAGAACCTGAAAGATTCTGAAGTGAAAATCTGTCTATAGCACAGGAGAAATATTACAAAAATTCCTGTCTGCATCTCTCTTACTCTGCTCTGGAATGCTGTGCCAATGAAGATCAGTGATTTACAGCCTGTAGCCGCGCTGCAAAGGTACTCTTCTCTTCTGAAATACCTGCAACGTGGGTGTTTTTAATACAAAATTTGGAAAACACAGACAAGTCTAGAGAAAAACGTCATTTTGTTGAAGCAAACACTACTTGGCAGGGTGGGAGGCGGGTATGACTCACACAAGGCGTTTGCCGAGTTCATCTGAGAGAAGCCTGGGCGGTGGTCCTTCAGCACTTAGCAGGCTGGTAGAAAGGTCGCCACAAGCTCAAGGCCAGCCTTGGTTATACAGGAAGACTCTGCCTCTCTCTCTTTTTTTTTTTTTTTGAGACAGGGTCTTACTCTGTAGTTCAGGCTGACCTTCAACTCACAGTGTACCCCAGGCTGGCCTTGAACTCATGGACATGCTCCTGCCTCAGCCTCCCGAGTGCTGAGATTACAGGCATGTGGGAAGACTCGGTCTCAAACAAAACAAAACAAAACATCTGAAAGAAAAAGCACTGAGTGCTGTTTTCCCTCCAGACTCTTCTGCCTTTTCCACGAGAAGAGTATTTCTACACCTGGAAGGAAACATCTTAAATGTCTCTACAGACGTCAGCTTCATGAGGGGCACCCAGAGAAATAGTATGATGAGATAACAATCTGTCCTTTGCACTTTTCTTGCTAAAAACTGTATCATCTCTTTTTTCTTCATTATTTGAAAAAGGCAGTAATTTAGGGCAGGCTTTTTTTGTGGGGGGTGGTACCAGGAATTGAATTCAGGACTTTGTGTTTGCCAGGCAGGTGCTGCAACACTGAGTTATATCCTTGGCCCATAGGGCAGGTTTTTAAAAAAATTTTTCCCGCTGAGATGTGGTCTCACTACGTGGCCCAGGCTGGCCCTGGAGTTCCTGGATTCTCCTGCCTCTGCCTCCCATGTAGTTGGAACTACACGCACACACCACTGTGCTTGGCCCGGGCAGGCTTCTGAACTTTTCTGAGCTGCTCCAGGGTCTGGGAGGTGTCTCTAGCCTGGATTTTTATAGGTGCTAAGTCTCTACAGTCGGCCAGAAGCAAGCAAACTAAAGGAAGGATGGTGTTCCAGGAGGAGGGCGTCTTTGTAACTGAGGTATGTCATCAGTAAAGAGTAAATGCAATTTTTTCACCGCTTTTTCCTTGTTTATTCAGTTCCTTCCGTCCCTCCTGTCTCCCTCCCTCCCCTTCTTCCATCTATCAGTCCTAGGGATCAAACTCCAGGGCCTTGAGTATGCTAGGCAAGTGCTGTATCACTGAGCCAAAGCTCCAACATTCCAATTTTGTATTTCATTTTGAGACAGGGTCTTGCTATATAGCCCAGGCTGGCCTGAAGCTTTGCAATCTTCCTGCCTCAGCCTCCCAAACAGCTTGGATTGCAGGTATGTACTACTGTATCCAGCTACACAATTTTCTTAATGCATGCATTGAGTGATGATCTAGGAAAAAGTACAAGGAGTAACTCATTTAAAAAATCACATCAATTTCAACTTTGTGCAACACCCCCAAGAAACTATTTTATCTGTTTTTAAAAAACTACCCTATAGAACAAATGAGAACCCCGGGAAGGGTCAATACTGCTCATACACTCAAACACTACAGATGAAAATACTGCATTTGCTCCTATTACAAATATATCTTTTTTATTTTAAGGCAGAATGAAAGTTGATGTCAAAATCGCACTTCCTGTCTCAGAGGGGAATCAGCTAAGTAGTACTGGCCCCTCTAGTTAGGAGGATAGATTTCACACTAAGTGCTCTTTCTGCAATAAACAAAATTTAAAAAAAGAAAGGAAGGTACCCTCCTATCTGAATTCACCAGTAATAGGATTCCACCGTGTAAAGCACCATCCAGTGGTGCTGCTCTCTGTAAGGAATGATCTGGAGACAATGGTTCATGGTAAAGGACATGGAGCTCCCCATTCCCCTTCTTCCACCTACAGGGCCCCCACCTGTCACGTCTCCAGTGCCATGAGGCCAACTAGCCAGCAGGCTGGTTCTCGGCTTGCTCACGTCTCCCATATCCACCCAGGTCTTAGAACCACAGACAAAAGCAAACCCCACTCCCACGTCTGATCAATGCTTACATGACAGGGGCATTTTCCACACAGATAACTCCTTTCAGTGAGATTATCTGCTGAGATGTGGAACTGCTGACAGACAGAACTCCAAACCCCACTGACATCCACATACACACAAATCAGAGAACAGAGCCTCAAGTATAGACTGTGTGAAGGACATGCCACTGACTGTCTGGCTGGACCCCACTGACTCCACTGAATTACTTTTCCGTGAACAGAGTTAACCTCCTGCACAGCTCTGCAGAGTGACTACTGAGGGGACTGTGGTTCACCCTGCAGACCCGATGGCGATTGTAGGGATAAAAGGACCTGATGTAAAGTCAAGTCCGTGCCTACGCCAAGGTCATTTGCTGAGCATCCACAAACAGCCAATCTTTCTGCCTTCCTGAGTTCACTGTACTTCAGGCTTCCAGAGCAAAACCGCCAACCAGCTGGGGCCTTTCTCCTCAGCCAGCTGTGCATTCAAGAGCTCTGGGACCGGTTTCACGTGGGTTTGCTACAGTGGTTTTATACTTACTTCCCCGAGCAAGTGCAGGCACCATACACTTGCTTGGTAAAGCCTGGGCACTCACTTTGCTGTGTGTGTCACAGGTAAGACATGAGCAATGGCTACATCCCTAAGGGGGCAGAACAGTTAGCAAATTCAGAAATGTTCTGAATATAGTTTTTTCTTAATTTTTAAATTTTATTCATTTGATTTAGTTATTTTTGCTTGAGACTGAACACAGGGCCTTCCTGTTGAGCTACATCCCCAGACTTTTAAAATTATTTATTTCGAGACAAGACGTTGCTAATAAGTCATTAATTTGCTTACTTTGGGCTCCAACCTGTGACCCTCCTCCCTCAGCCTCCCCGAGAGCCGGGATTACAGGTGTGCATCACCATGCTTGGCCTACAGTGGATACAGCTTTACAACAGTAGAAGCTCACTGCAGTAGTAACTAGTCACTTATGTAACACGGCACCTAGCAGGTGCATAATCTTTATTTCCATGTTTTCTGAGGCATTTGACGCCTACTGCAAAGATGAGGAAGCCAAGGCTCAAAAGTCAACTCCGAGCCAGGCATGGCAGCACACACCTGTAATCCCAACATGTGGGCAGTGGAAGCAGGAGGACTGGTTCGAGTTCAAGGCCCGCCTGAACTACACAGCAAGAACCTGTCTCTTAAAAAAAGAAATAAGAACAAGGAAGTCAACTATGACTGCTCAGTAAGTCACAGAACTATTCTTTCCAAAAAGCACACTGCCTCCTTGTTTAGGACAATTATTTTCATAGCTTAAAACAGACCTTAATCTTGATTATAAGTATCACTATGTGAAAACACTGACTGAGTTGTGGTGTTTGCTATAGACTGTAAGCTATGAAATTCTAACCTGGGCACTCAGCTCCAACATGAAGTTGCATGACTTGAGGTTAAGCAAAACAAAAACAAAAACAAAAACAAAACAAAACTGATCACAGACAACACCAGCTCCAATCACACAATCGTCTCCCAAGCTGCTGTTCTGGAAGGTAACAGCCTTCACAGGTCAGACATTCAACCCGGTGTGGCCCGTCCTAAAAGGTTACAGCCTCTTACAAAGATCCCCTTGTACGCCAATGTTTACTGAATTCCTCTTTTCAAATTGCCTTCAGTTTCAGAGCCTAAGAAATTCAGTCTTATCACTCCACGGGTACTTCTTACTAGTCTCTTTCAGACCTATATTGATATTCAGTTTGATCCTGACTCTATTACTTCTGTCCCATTCCAAAATCCAGACCTGGCCACTACAGAATAAAAACACCATCACACAGAACACTCAGAGTGTGAGTCAAAGGCTCTTAAAGAAATTCCCCAGATGAGATAGCTTTTTTTCCTTTTTAATATTTATAGCTCATTACACTTATCTATTATGACAAAGAGGACAATGTTAACTCATTCAAAGTAAATAAAGGACTTTTTTTTACTGGTACTGATTTGGGGTTCTTTTGTTTCACATCTTTTTATTAGTATGCATTGGTTATACATATTAATGGGTTTCACTCTGGCAGATTTGTACATGCACTAACATACTTTTATCATTTTCACCCCCTTTTGCTCTCTTGCCCCACACTTTCCTCTGGTTTCACATTTCTGGGGATTTCAATGCATGCATTTTGATTACATCCATTCATTTTACTACTTGCTCTTTTACGCCCTCCTTGTTCCCAGCTTCTTGTCTAATAATAGTCTTCCTTCTGCTTTCTTGTTATTTCTATTTAGATTCCACATACCAAAGAGAACATATGATATTCGTTTTTCTGAGTTGGGCTTATTTTGCTCAACATGATGCTCTCCACATCCATCTCTTCTGCAAATGACACAATTTTGTTCTTTATTGCTGAATATATATATATATATATACACATACACACACATATATATATTTTGTGTATATATATCCATAATAGGGTTCCTCATACGCTCAGAAAAATGACAGCACCTTTACATTAAGTATGTATCATCCTATGTGCTTCTTTTCCAGGGGACAGTATCTGGCTATGATGCATTTGAGTGTCTTTGTTTACAAGTGATACAGTAACTTAAATCTGCAGTTAGTGGAAAAACTGTGCAAAGGAAATGTTCACAGCCCAATGGGGCACTGCTGGCCACCTTGTTTCTCAGGTGGATACACACAGTTTAAAAAGCTTATACCGTCTCCCAGGGCCACCTAAGAGTACCAGCCGTTACAAACCTGTGATCTATTATTTCTCTGTCCCTGAGACCCAGCAAGCCACTTGCCCCAACCATGGAAGCTCCTCTGTTGGATAGAGAAGACCCAATGTAGAGTATCAAGGTAGAGTAGTCACCTGCATGCTTGTGGGGGTGCTGAAGACTCCGCTGGCCCTGAGGGCTGTTTCCCTGTTGTAAGAAGAGGGCTGCTCCTTTCACCATGAAAAAGCTCTCACTTAAACTGGAAAAAAAAAATTGGGCCATGGTTAGAATGAATTGAGAGGAAAATGGGCCAAGACGTAACGCAGAGGAAAAGCATCAAAGCGGACAAATGACACATAAAATGCAAATGGAATGAAACTGCTTTTACAATAATTTCACACAGCAGTCTTCCCGAGATTCATCTTTGCTGAAAGCTTGCTGCTGCAGCTTTATGATGAAATAATGCTTCTGCTGAAACACCCTAAGTTCCCCAGGGCTCTGCCATGGCAGGGCCCTTGTCTGTTGAACCCTGGAAGGGACCTCACCGCAGCACTGTATGTTGTAAAAACAGAGAGCACCCTGATGGGAGGGGGGCGGTCTGCTCTGTGCCATTTTTCACATTCCTGCTATTGGCCCTGGCTTTTAAGCTCCTTTTTTTTTGTTTGTTTGTTTGTTTTTTCCAGTACCAGGAATCGAACTCACAACCTCGCACTTGCCAGGCAGGTGCTGTGCCGCTGAGCTAAATCCTCAGCCCCCAAACCCCTAACTTTTAATAATGCTACTACTTCCTGGAAAACAAAAAAAACACAGAAAAACACCCAACCACATCGGAACAAAACCAACAAAAAGGGGCCAATGCAGGGAACCAAAAAACAATGTGGAAAAAAAAAAAAAAAAAACAAGAACAACAAACAAAACAAAACAACACTAAAAAAAAAAAGAAAACTCCCCCCCAATAAAATGTTAACTTAACTTGATCAAGGAAAACAAAAAAAACAAAAATAAAAAAAAATAAAAAACAAAAAAAAAAAAAAACGCACCAAAATCAAGAAACGGCCCTCAGAAAAACACAAACCAGCAAAAATAATGAAGATGAAACGGCAACAATGAAAAATCCAAAAAAAAAAGAAAGAAATTAATAATTGCCCAAGGCAAAAAAAAGAGGAACGTGAGCAAGAAAGTAAAGCATAAAAAAAAAAAAAACAGCCCCGTCCTGCCCCACGCCTACAACCCCACCACCCGACACCCCGACCCAACACCAATCATGCCAGCCGACCCCAGCCTGACCTACACAGTGAATTCAAGCCCACCCTCAACCACACAGTCAAACCCTCTTTCAAAAAGACAGCCACACTTACTAACTACCACCAACTATCCAAAAATATCCCAAACTCCCAAAAACCACACAGAAAATACAGCAAAAAAACCAAAACTGAAAGACACTAAGCAAACAATCTACACTCAGCTACATCCCCAGTCATAAAACCTTCAAAAAAGAAAAAATTAAAAACAAAAAAATTATGAAAATGGCAAAACAACAAGCACAATTCAAAAGACTGAAGAACATTCCAGGACAAAATCTGCGGGTAGAAAGACGCACACCTGCAAACCCAGAACCAAGGAGAATCATACGAAGGAAGAGCCAGACCGGGACTACACCGGGAACGAAAAACAGAAGATACAGAAAAGCAAGACCCGGCCACAAAAGCAGACAAATCCCTCTAAAAATCACAATCCAAAGTGGACGAAAGTAGCCACGCGGAGTGGGGCACAACCGAAAGCCAAGAACCCACAAAAATGAAGCACAAACATTGCTAAAACACAGAGACAAGCAAAGGCGAAAAAGTAACCGAAAGGCCACCAAAAACAGAAAACTAAGAACCTGGCAAAAAAAAAAAAAAAACACCACACACACACAAACCAAAGGAAATAATAAAAAAACAAAAAACAACAGAAAAAGCAAACAGGGTAGCCCACGCCAATAACCAAAAGATTCAACAAGAAGAGCCAAGAAAAATGAACCAAATTCAAAACAAGCCACTAGGACACACTAGGTGAAGACACAGCCCAAGCTCAAAAGGGAAACCCTGTAGACAAAACAAAAAAAACCAAAAAACAAAAAAATGAAAGGAAGGAAAAACACACAAGAAAAAGCACAAACATACAGTTAAAGAAAAAAGTGAGCCAAAAACACAAAAGCATAGAAAATAATAGAAAGAATCAAAACCACCTATACCACACGCAAAACACCGAAACCCGAAAAAAAAAAAAAAAAAAAAAAAAACCTCAGTTAAGTCTCAAATATAACTCTGGGTAAGTGTTAAGAAAATGTCATACGAACTGGCATTTAAAGTCAGCAGCTCCTGGGAAAACAGATCTTTCATGATAAAAATTTTCTAAATTTTTTGGGGAGTGAAATTCTCATGCTAAAAATACAGACTGCTTAACTGTATAGTTCAGCCCCTCATACAGGCCTTTGGACACCGACAATTTGTGATTTCAAAGTTCCAACCCTTCGCAGGTGCTCAGCACTTCTTCATCTGTTACTGCACAGACGTCTAGGTCATCCTCTCTGCTCTGGAGCCCAGTCACACACTTCTGTAGTGTTAGGTGGGGAGGAGCCCAGGACTGTAAACAGTGAAGAATGAGAAGCACTCTTTCTTGCAGTCTCACCTTCACCCACAGGAAGCAAAAAGCTCTTTAGCATCCATCTGGCCAATGCAAGATCCAGGCCATTTAATTTTAGCAGGTGGCAGAATCTTCTCGTATTTGTCTACTCTTAAAATTTGTCACCTTTGCCTTTCCTAGAATTCTACAACCAAGACTGTTTTCAGAACTATTACTGTCCTTTCTAGACACGGATCCCTTACTGCTTACATCCAAATCTCAAAGAGCTGTGAAGGGACTCCCAGATCATGAAACTTAAAACAATCAGGTCATCAAAGCGGCTAGGAAAGTCTTTCCAAGGGAACATCAACCTGTTTTGTTCATGAATATGAAAACACCTACCCCCGAAATCCATACTGACCAGAACCAGGGCACTCTGGAAACTGCCAACCATTACCAGTGACCTTTGTTATGGAAATCACAGGGAAAAATTCCCCTGGTTTCCCTTACATTTCCTCTGGGGAAAAAAAAAAGAAAAGGGTGGCAGAGGGCGGGGAGACCAACTCAGAAGAACAGGCTGGCTTTAGCCTGTGATCACCAGCAAGCCAGCTATCCCTCAGTCTAATAAGAATCTGAGTCCTCCCTGTACAAGTGAAGTCAGGGCGCAGTAGTGACTGGGGCCTTGGTCTCACCCTGACCATCAGGCACAGGCGGTTACTGTAAAGAGTAAGGCCAAACACTGCAGGGAGGCCCAAGGAGTTCATGATCCTAAGGCAGTGAGGTCACCCTGCGTCCCGGGAAGACAGTAAGGGGATACAGGCAGAGAAGCCACACACGACGACTCCTGGGGCTGAGATGCTGGCAGAGTGGGTGGGAGGCTACAGAGTGTGGTCAGCGATGGGATTTATGCAAACAAGATGCACATATTTTTCATGACCTGGCTTTCTGCCTTCTGTCTTGAGCTCCCCACAGGCCCTCACGTGCCTTCAGTGTGAGCGATGAGGGTTATTCCCGACGGCCAGGGCGTGGCATGGTTTGCTCAGCTGAACTTTTAATACCAAATGCACAGTACCCAGATTCACAGGAGTTCAGAGCACCCACCAGGGAAATCCTCTAAGACATGTGCGCTGGTGGAGCTAAGTGTGCGGCTCCGTAGGGAGAACGCTCGCCCAGCATGAGTGGGTCTCTGCGTTCCATTCCTAGCACCGCAATTAAAATTTTAAAAATAAAAGTAGATGAAGAATCCTCGCTGGTAATGGGCACACCTTTATGAGGTACTCTGGTCAAGAAAGCCACAAACACACCTACCATCCATCCCAGCCTCGGAAAACTCAACCTTCTCACCAAGGTTTCAGTGTTTTAAAAAGAGCCCCTGAAGGTACAGGAGGTCGGACTCACACAAAACAAACAAAAACACCCAGAGTCAACTTCTCTCACTGCTTTAGGAGAAACTCTGATAAGGGATTAAGAAACGGGTCCAGCAATTCCCCTCCCGACTGTCCTGCTCAATGATTTTACCTCCAAATAATTTCACCTCCGCAATACAAATAATTTCTGATACTGATTATTGCTCTTTGGGCCGACTTTACAAGGTTAAAGTTTCTACAAAACATGTGAAACAGATAAAACCTTCAATCAGTGCTCTTCAACAACCCCCCGCCCTTGGAATATAAAGAGTACCATCCAGAAACTGACCCAAGGTAATGACACAAAAGAGCGATGGTCATACGTACTAATTTGGGCTGGAACCCTCGGAACTGCAGAGGTACCGCGTTGGCCGAACAAAGATGCAGAAGTCAGAAAAATAAACAAGGTTCATGATTGCTGCATTCACATCTCAACACCCTTCTGTTCCGTGTCTGTGGAGCTTCTGCCAGCCACTTTCCACAGGTCCCAGGACGGCGGGAAGGAGGCTGGTGAGTCCCTTCAGGACTGCAGTGGAGTCCTTCTTGGGCGATGGTCCTACCCAAAAAGCAAGGAGCTTTTGCAGCATTGTCCTCCCCTGATATTTTGGCTTTAAAAGGCCCTTGTCACAGCATTTTATGATGAAAGAAGCCTATTCAGAAGGAGCAAAACAGCTGAAGTTCCTCTAATCACTTCACTCCTACGGGCTTTCTGGTCAGCTTCAGAACAAGCAACAGGGTGTGCATTAGGAAGCAGGAGGGAAAACAAGCCGGCGGCCAAGGAACAAACCCCAAGCAAAAGGACCCCACCGTGGTTAAAACTGGAATATTGAAGGATGTCTCTTTCTTTCAAATCACCATCCCTCCACCCAACGGGATGTGGGCAGCTGCCTGCCCCATTTGTTACTCTGCATTTTCAAAAGCATTTTTACATTCTGAAAATGCTTCGCGGTTATGAAAATAGTTATTTAAGGGGTTTGGTGACCCTTCGCTGGGGATGTTCCAGGTGCACAGAACCACACACGCTAGTATGAGGAGCTCTGAGAGGCATATGGTGTCTAGGTAGGCCAGGATGCCAGCAAGGCTAAGATCCCGAAGGGCTGGTGCATGATGCCTAAATCTATCTGCAGGGCTGGGGATATACAGCTCAGTGGCACAGCGCCTGCCTCGCAAGCACAAGGTCCTGAGTTCAATTCCCAGTAATAACAACAACAAAAAAATCCATCTTGCCAGAGCCTCCAAGAGCTGA